ACCTCCCCTCTGGAGCCAGTGGGATTTAAGGTCCTTCCAACCCAAACCATTCCCTAATTCTGGAATCTCAGGTGGCCCTAGAGCAGGACATGAAGAGAAGGTGTTTGGGCCATCACTGCTGAGGCTCTTCCCAAGGAAATTCCAGTTTATTTTCCTTTGGCACAGGGAACAGAACAAACTTCCCAAACTGGTGAAGACTCACAAGGGATGAAAATTCCTCTCCTTGGTGGGGGTTCAGAAAACGCTCCACAAAACACCCTCAAAACACTCTGTAGCACCTCCATCCACATTTGTGACAAAGAGAAAACATGATTCAAGGAAGAATTTGATGATTCAAACATGAGTCAAAAAAGAAAACATGATTCAAGAAAGATTCCTTTGCTCTCCAAAGAGAGATTTTTATATAAATAGAAGCAAAATTCAATTATCTAAAGTGTCAACTGCCACTACTCAAAACAAATATTGGAAATTGATAAAAATTAGTATTTTATATTAAATCAAACCTACACAGCAACTGAATATTTTTTCCATATTCAGAACTTTTAAGCTTCTGAAAAGTTTAAATTCTTACAATTTCTGGGGCAAGAATTATTTTTAAAGCCTGGTTTAAATTTCCACAGAACAAGTAAAATATGTTAAATATTATTTCATTCTTTGTGTGTATATAGTAGCACATGTTATCCACCCTCCTAAAATTCATTGCATAATTAGAAATTTAAATTAAAGCCAGCGAGTTCTCAGTGGAAAGAACACAAATAAGAAAACTGAAAGAAAACCATCATCAAAACGAGAAATCCATAAACATTTGATAAATTTGGCAGTTGAAAAGAAGCCCCAATAAAAGGAAATTTCTCATACTTGTTGCCACCTGCCCGCCTCACTGCTTTGCATAGCTAGAAAAGAGCAAAACAGAGGCCAACCTATTTAACTAAACAGTTTTTATTAAAGTAAAAGAAAAGCAAGAATCTATAAAGTAGCAAGTGATCCTATTAGTTCCACCAGACTAAAATCATACAGTCCACGTATGTGGTCCTTTCAGCCACATCTGTTATGAGCCATTTTGATACCCAAAAGCAGAGAATATTTGCCCATATTTATCAGGCACTGAGTGCAAATCAGGCTTTTTCTCCTCAATAACTCCTGGTAGAATGGGTAGATTAAAAAAAAAAAAGCAGTCAGAACTATAAAACGTTTGTATTTGCCACAGTTAAGGCCGAGGTACTCATCGTATCCCATTCTCTTTGAGGAATATGTAAAATACAATAAAGATGCAGGGTACAAAATTAAAGGCAGCAAACTGACAGCATAATTCAAAGATGATGAGTTAAATATCCAACATCCAGAATTGGATCTGATAAATGGTAAATGTTTGGGATTTGTATTCCCCCATTTTCATCACCTCACATTTAGCGCCTCGGTCCCGAAGTTTCCTTTAAACAAACTCGGCGAATTCTTTGCACAAAACGCCCCATTCTTGACTGCTCTTTCAGCCAGAGATTGAAATGCAGATCCCAAAAATACATCAGTCACTTATTTCAACTCTAGACCTTTGAAAATCCAGATCAATTGCCTTTTGTCATCATCTTTAGATGGAGAGTAAGAAATTTCTGCTTAGCACCATGGAAAAGCTCCCGGAGCCTTTGGAAGAGGCGGCAGCGTCGATAGTTTGAAACATCCCCGTGCTGTTCCACGGGAATTTATTGACATTTTGGGAATACTCATCCATACTTTAATCTTTATGAGAAAGCACAGGTGCCATATAATTTACAGTAGGCACTAAGCAGCTTTCAGGTTCTGAGGTTTGCCCTAAGCTTGGGATTTCGGATTTGAAACTTCTCCCTAAAACCAGCGCCGGGAGCCACGCTCGGCACAAACCCCCAGCTCGCATCCTCTCCGTCCCTCGGTAATGAAGGCTGGGAAAGAAATCACAGACACCCAAGTGGTTTGGCAACTGTAAGTGACAGAAGCTGAGCTAAATCCTCTGTTTACACTGGGGATTATCCGGGTGGATTGTGCGGCGCTCCCGGAGCCGGCGCTGGTCAGGGGACGCTGCTCCCCGTCCGCCCGTGGGGCAGGGCACAAAGCCCCGGCCTGGTAGGAAGTGACCCAGAAGGAGATGGTGAGCAAGGATTTACACAAAGCCAGTCTGCCTCAGAAAAACTCCATATGACCATTAACTGGCCGGCAGGGCCTGCCAGGAGGCCTAATTACAGCCCTACAGAGCCCGCTAACAAAAGCTGGAGAGCTTTAGCCCAGGGATGATCTGCTTTATACTGACTTGAGAGAGTCCATATAGAGCGAGGAAAAGAAAGAGGTTTAGCTTGGAAATTCTCCCAAGAGACAAAGTATTGTCGCTCAGTCTGGAAGGCCCACATGGAACATACTTCAGATGGGCTTAAACATCCCACCCTCTCCAAATTAACATTCAACTATTGCCTGCTTAACATCTGCTCGGGCACGGCGACTTGTGGGAGGTTGTCAGAGGAGCCTAAAAAGGCTCCCTGGCACCTCAATAATTCAATAAATTCAATTCAATAAATCATGAAAATATGAAGTTATAGCTGGTTATATATATATATAACTATATATATATAGTTATATGTAACTATATATAGTTATATATAACTATGTAACTATATATATAGTTATATATATATAACTATAGTTATATAGTTACAAAAATTTCTGAGGAATGAAGGGTTTTATAAATCAAAACTCAGTTGTCTCGATAATTAAAGTGTCTGACTACCTCCCAATATAGCCCTGCTTAATAAGAACAAAACACTGACATTAATTTACACTTAAAAAAAAATAAATTCAATGAAGTCAGCACGAATGCAGGACTTGGGAGAAAAACTTCCTAATCACTGTACAACCTAAATATAAAAATGGCCATCTTAACCTCCTCTCCCACAGACACAGGTGACTATTTTTTATTTTACCTGCTCTCCTAATGAGAGACCAGAGCCACAATTCCTATCCCCAAATACACCACGGGAAAAAATATCTCAGTAGTAAGAGCCTGTTTTACTACTTGCTGATTTCTGCCTTTCAGAGACAGCAGCTGCTATTTTCTAAAAAAATATCTAGGTTAAATTCTAAAAGCAGGTTTTTCTCAAGATCCTAAATATCTCCACAAGGGAAATTTAGACAGGGAAATACAAACAGGGAATTCAAGAGCATCTGTGGCTGCCCCTGGATCCCTGGCAGTGTCCCAGGCCAGGTTGGACACTGGGGCTGGGACAGTGGGAGGTGTCCCTGCCATGGCAGGGGTGGGATGGATGGGATTTAAAGCCCAAACCGTTCCATGATTCCACCATGTCAGCAGGGATGTCCCCAGTGTCCCTACAACCCCTGCAGGTGATTTGGAGCCCCTGCTTTGCCTGTCCAAACCAGGGAGGAGCAGCATCTCTTCAACACCAGATCCACGGACAATCCACTGGGAACACAGCACAGCCTCCCAGTCCCGCTCAGCGGGGTTGGAGCAATCCCTACAAGGTGCACAGATATTCCATGAGCTCATGCCCAAGCTTGGGATGGAGCCTGCACAGAGCCCTGTGCACACCAGCAACAGCTCTACTCCCCATTACTGAAGTACAGAATTAATTTCAATTATATTCAAACAGAACATCACCACAGCAGCAATGAACCTGCTGAGCCCCAGCTCCTCAAAAAGCTGCTGGGTAATGGCTCGGCAGAAATTGATTTTGAAGTTTGAAGACTAAAAGGTGCTGATTTTGCAAGGAGTAAACACACAAAAATATATTGAAACAACATTTACCAACATTTCCAGCCTCTTCTCACAGCAATTAAATAAAAATTAAATTTAATTGACTGAATGCAGGACTTGGGGAAGAAGGTGGGGGATGATCCCATAAATGCCTGGGATGACCAAGACTTGAATAAAAAGGTGCTGATTTTGCAAGGAGTAAACACACAAAAATATATTGAAACAACATTTACCAACATTTCCAGCCTCTTCTCACAGCAATTAAATAAAAATTAAATTTAATTGACTGAATGCATGACTTGGGGAGAAGGTGGGGGATGATCCCATAAATGCCTGGGATGACCAAGACTTGAATAAAGCCAGGAAGGAACTTAATTCTGTATTTTGGATTGTAAGAGACACAAAGATATTAAATCCCTTCTGTTCCTTATGAACAACATGCAGCTTCAATCTAAGATCCAGCCCTCAGTGGTGGATATTTAAATTTAATAATGTCACAGACCTTTGATAAGCTTTGGAAAATTTTGGAGCCCAGGTCACGATGATATACAACCCTCAGTTATCTTTTGTACATCTCCCAGGTGTGAAATTAAAAAATGAGATGTGATCGATGGCAGCAGAATACACAAATTGTGCTTTTGAGGTCAGGGCTGTCACATCCATTTCATAATTACATGCTTCAAAGATTTATTAAAAGTTCTGGAGAACAAGGAATGTATTGGAAGAAAGACAATGCAAAAGGCTGGATGGATTTTGGAAAAAGAAATACATCAGCAATGTGAGGAGATTCCTCACAAAAGGGTTTCCAAAAGAGGGGGGGAAATATATATGCATATACTTGTACTGATTTAAAACAATGCTAAAACATAAAGAAAATTGCAAAAAAAATAAAATCAAAATTTTGAGAGCACAGAATAAAGAGGGGGGGAAATATATATGCATATACTTGTACTGATTTAAAACAATGCTAAAACATAAAGAAAATTGTAAAAAAAATAAACAAAATCAAAATTTTGAGAGCACAGAACAATGTCTCAGTAGCAGCAAGAGCCAGAGGACAAACATGAGGTTTTAGTGTAAAAAAAGGCTTATTTTTATATCCTAAAAGGGCTTTACTAAGTACCAACAACGATGCAAACCAATTTAACTTTAACCTGCAATTTAAGTGAGCTGCGGAGAACGGGATCAGCATCTGCCAAACACGAAGGGATAAAATCCCACCTGACAGCCCAAAAACGAAGCAAAGTGTTGAAGATTGTCATTTACTCACCAGCTGCCTCCAGAACCAGCTGCAGCCTGGCTTTGGCCTGTTCAGCAGGAGTCTGCAAGAGAGGATGGATCAGCTCACACCTGGTTGGACACGGGACACTCCATGGGACACTCCATGGGACATTCCCACCCCCAGAGAGCTCCTGCCTCCACACCAGCCACAGAACTCCCAGACTGGAAACACTGAGGGAGGAATTACCAAGGAAATGTTCAGAACTGACCCAAAGCAGCATCCCCACGAGCTGGCACCATGACCAGTCCACGCCCAGCTCCTCTCCCAGCCCTCCAACCCCAAATCCTGCCTGGCTCCTGGGTGACCCCGTTCCACACAAACACACAGCTCCACAAAACGCCCCAAAACTGGCTTTAACGTGATTAATGCGGCGAGTTTTTCACACTTTGCTCTTATCTGGGGTGATTTTCCCTCTCCTGAAGGTATTGCTGCACATCTGTTGGCTTGAGGATCACAATGTTGGCTGTGGCCCCACTATGCTAATCACCCCAGTGATGTTGCACTGTGTCCAATGCCTTTGCCATCCCTCTCAATGTGAAGCCACTCAAACGTTGCCACAGTTAAATTGATACACAAACCCTATTTGTCACGGAGTTCAGAAGTTGATTATTTCTGGAAGTGTCAGAGAAGTTTGGGAGGTTTCTGCTCGGCACTAAAAACAAAACCTGACGGGAATTTTTGGTGGCGTTTTGCAGCTTGGGAAACTCTTCTCAAGAGCCTAAACGGCTGCAAAAGGGAAAATGAAATAGGAAAATTCAGACAAGAGAAGCTGGGGCTGCCCCTGGATCCCTGGCAGTGCCCAAGGTCAGGTTGGATGGGGCTTGGAGCAGCCTGGGACAGTGGAAGGTGTCCCTGCCCACAGCAGGGGATGGGATGGGATTTAAGATCCCTTACAACCCAAACCATGCCATGACTCCATGATTTTAATTAGGCAGAGCTCTTTGCCATCAGCGTCCCAACTGGTGATGCTCTGCATGGCCTCACCACCCTCATCCACACCCACGAGGAGAGGCTGACAATGATAGAACAATTCCCTTTCTACTCCAAGAATTTACACACTGCTCCTTCCAATAAGAGAGATGCTGCATTAAATGTAATTTAAATGAAGATCCACATTTTGATTGTATAGAGATCGATTATTTTTAGTTCAGATTTTTACTGTTTTACTGATTTTTACTGTTTGCATAAATCCAAAACTACTGGGCAGAATTTTTTATTATTATAGCTGCAATATGGATCCTACCATCAGACCTGACCACTAACCCTGGTGGCAGCAAGAAACATCTTGAAATTGATCATAAATTATCTTCACATTTCTTCTTCTTGCCATGAACTAATCACTGCAATCTGTTCTGGCATCTTCAGTAGGTCACGGGGGGAGAGGAAGGAGAGAAAGGGAAAGATCTGCTTTTTATCCAGAACCAACTTGCCCAGCTTCAGTTTCAGAGAAGCTTTACTTGGCTTTGTGGTTTCTCCATTCCATGACAATTGTAAATCTAAAAAATCCCACCAGCATTAGTTGAGTTCAGCTTCTCAGGAGAGGAAAAATCCCAGCAAAGGATTTTTCATAATATCATGGCTACAGAGTTTGGCAAAACTTTGCCGGACAAGCAGAGAAGGAAAAGTATTTGGTGTCAAACACCACCTGTGCTCACATCTGCACGTGAACAGCCCAACTCTTTGTGCACCTCATGCATCAGGTGGGCTCTGGCATCCCCAAAACACAACTTCCTATTCCTACAGCAGTTATCCACTTCAGATATTTAACCAAAAAACCCCTGGATCTCTCAGATCCCTGGATCCCTTCTTGCTGGCCACGCATCTGTTCAGCACCACTGACTGGAGAAAGATGTTCCACTGGCAGCTTTAGGATATCTGTGTCCAGCACCAGCAGGCCCAAAGAGCTCCATGAAGAGCAAACGCCAAGCAGGCTCCAGAGGAGGAGGAGGGAGCAGCAGCAGCTGCACAGATGTCACTCCCAGCACTAAACACGGAGCTCCACAACTGATCCCGCTGCTCTCAGGAGCTCCAAACACCTTTTCCCGCTCCTCCCATGGAGTTATGGATGTGCCTCCTTGGTGTAAGGGAGGGAAGACTCAAATTCTTATTTTCCTCAGCAGTCTCCCACTGGGAGCAGCCCAGGCAGTTGCTCTGGAGGCATCTTCCCCTTTGCCCTCGCCCCAGGTGTTAATTACTCCACGGGAGAACTCGGCACAGACACCTTTTCATCAATCAATAAGCCCCAGCCAAGGAGTGAAAGGAGGATTCTGAAATAAAGGTGACTGGCTTGGCCCCAGAAAACATCTCTCCAACTGGTGGATGAGGCCAGCACTCGGAGAAGAAAGGACAGAGGGGATTTCAGCTGAAAACCACAATTAGAGCCTCAAACAAGCCGGGAGCAATGTGTGAGAACAAGCAGCTACCCGAGGTCAGTATTGATTTAGGGGACCATTAAGTGAAAAAATTCAGCAAGAGCCTCAGGAAACTTCAAAATGGTGAAACGATTGGTGGAGGAAGCATTACCAAGAGTGATGTCGAGCAAAATAAACCCTTGTACTTTCCTTATGGTCTTAAGCATAACACAGAAGGAAGAGAATTCAAAGAGAGTAAAAGGAAAAATAAAAGTATTTCTAGTGGCAGCTGGTGAAGGAGCCCACTGACTGTAAAAGCAGGAGAGGAATTCCCTAAAATTCCTTAACAAGCACACTGTAAAATGACCCAAGGTCATCCCCAGCAATGAATTTTACACGTGTTCAAAAGTGCCTGGTGAGACACTGGAATCCCAGCTCAGAAGAGGATGGGATTCCATAGGACACCATCAACCAGAAACACCTCTGTGGATTAAAAACTGCTTTCAATATTTCAGGGAAAAATTGGATTGGATCACTCAATTTTTAATGGCAGCTGATTTATGAAGACACAGCACAACCCTTAACTTGTATTTCTTTGCAGTTCATCCACTGCATTCCATCACTACTCCTTTCATAAATAGTTATTTTAATAAAATTACACTAAACCAGACTCGCAACTTGAAATTTGGTAGGTTTTGTGTAAAAATCCCCACAAAAGCTGCTTGCCACTCACAGCTCCACGAAACAAGTGCTGAGTGTAATGGGCAGGAGAGCCATAGTTGGCTTCCCAAATATTCCATTTCAAGGGAGATTCAGCTTGTCAATTAATTAATAGATTAAAACACTTGAATTCAGCTTTAGAATGTATTTTTTTAAATTATTCCTGCTATTTTGGATGAATGGTACAGTTCTTGACAGAGGAAACAATATTAAAGTCAAAACTTGAGAACACTGAGGAAAAAAAATTGAGAAACACGAAGTTTATAGAGAGAGTCCAAGTTTCTGCTGGAGCCAGCCCCTGGGAATTTTGTGGAGCAGAGCACGTGGCTCTTGGCAGCCCTGGAAAACTTTTATCCCAGGATTCCAGCAGGTCATGAGGCTGCAGCAGTTTGAGTTGCAATGCTCAATGCCTTTCTGAATTTTTATCATTATGGAATTTCCCATGGAAAACGGCTGAGATGTGCTAAAACTGGACAGGTTCCACTCCTCCTGCTCATCCCTGACACTGCTGGGAAAAAAATTACCTGCAGGACTTTCCTGTCTCAAAACATCTGGATAAAAGCCCAACAAACTTCTGGTGATGGTGATCAGTTTTGGGGGTTTTTACACAATTATTTTCTCTCTGTATTTGATAAAGACAACTCCAGCCCTCCCCATTCCCAGGAAAACCTGTTACCTGAAATCTTAATTCCATGTTTGGCTTGCAGAGAAATCCCAGTCTGGGGCTGTGGGCAGCAGAAAGAGACCTCAAGTGTCAGTGAGGGGAAGAAATCAAACAGAGGGGATACACCTAAAATTATATTTGAATTTATTCTGTAAGTCAGGGGCCTGCCTCCACCTGCAATTTTATATCACACTTCCAGCAAATCCCAACAGGAGAGAGCAACAAAGGAGCCTAAGCCCAGCCAGCTTTTAAACAGATTTTGATCAAATTAGGGAAAATATTGTGGGACAGGTTTATCATAGGAATGCTGCAATCCTTTCCTGCCATTTATTCCTCTTTGGGCGATTAAAAAAAAAAATTAATAAAGAAACTGAAAATACTTATTTGTCTAAGACAACACTTCAGAGGAGAATAAAAGACTAAAATAAAAATAAAACCAAAGGAGATTGAGAATTTGCAGTTGTAATCTTTTCCTTATATAAGTCTTTGAGGATGTCAATTCCAGACTGACAGAGGAACAGTTTTCACATTAAAAACATAAAAATAAAATCCCACAGAAGAATCCCTAATCTGAATTAATAGCACAGAAATATAATAAGCACATCTGGCACTATTTGAATTAAACCCCTGCATTTTCAGACATAAATCTGTTGAAAAGATTGGATGGTAAAATTATATTTATGTCGGAGTTTTTCCTCTGATACAATTAATCAACAACACTACCCAGGACTAGGCTATGGTAGGAGTGTCCTGACTGGATACAGATTCACCTGCTCCCAAAAAAATCATCTTAAATTTATCAAAGTGAACTGTAAGTGGAGAAAAATCATGTAAAACATGGAATAATGGCAATTTTTGTCCATGGAATTCACAGATGCTCTTGGTATTTCAACAGAAATAAAGAATCCAGCATCAGGGATGGGCTAATTAGGAAAGAGAAATCATTAACCAAAACAACGGGCAGAAAACCTGAAATTTTAATTTATGCAAAGGCCACCGAAAATGTGATCAGTGATGAAGGGAAGAGTCCATCTTAATTAGCCACCAACACCACAGTGAAGGGAGAGCCTGGCTATGGAATGTGGCTCCTCCAGCAGAGCCAGGAAAAAACATGGGAACATGACAGGAAGGACAGAAAACTTCCCCGAGTTCTCCTCCTCCAGGACTGCCAATTTACCAAAACTGGGAAGGAGAGAGCCAACAATGACAAGGCCCAATCCTGAAATTCAGAGCCCAGTGAGGAACTGTAAAATCCCAGCTCTGAATGGAATGCCCAAATTTCCTGCTAAAACACCACAGGATATT